GAAAGCGTGATCCTACAAGTGATAAGACAACAAGACTAGAAGCCACAAATCAGAGTAATATTAAGTGTAAGGAGGAAAAGGAAGCTGTCAAACGAAGGTATCACGGTTCTGGACATATAAGTCAGAACTGCCACTCGTTCCCGCCTTCCCTTTTCGTACGGTCTCCTCGATAAGAACATGAGCCTCATTCCATCCGATGTGTCGTGGTGCTGTCATGGGGCTGGCGCCCAGTACTGGCATCTGGCACATTGTTAGCCAGACGACTAGCGCTGAGACCTCTGGCATCCCAATGACCATGGCTCGCCCAGACTGGGTGACTGCCCCAGGCAGCCAGGCACCCATGGAGTCACGTGCACACGCGCAACCTCTTAAGGATAGGTGGCTGGGTCTGCCCTGCGGGCCTCTCTCTTTCTCCCTTTTTCTCTTCGTAGAACCTTAATAGATTCCTATGGCCAGCACCCGCGTACAGCCCTGCTGTCCCCTTACAGGTGCCCTGTACCCGGCACCCCATTGCCCAGTGGCCAGTGCTCTGGTAACCTGTCCAGCCATGCCATGACACCCTGCCCGGCGCTCAATGAGGAGATTAGCTATAGCGAATTTCGCAAGTTTCTACGGTATTCATTCGGGAATCATTTTTGCGATATTCGAGCGCGCCTTCGGGTAATAGTATTTGGTGCTAATTGTACGGCACGCGCAATCTGGTGTCTTGATTCGTCTTGGCTCCCTATTGATATAGCCCCACACAGTCGGATGGGAATGGGGGTCGGCGCTAACAACTTTCAAGGGTTTGTTAATGTACACTGCATGTGTACTATGCAGCCTGCGTCACCTACTACTACCTTGCCGTACAGGCCACAATTCTAGCCTTGACATTGACACCTCTCAAGTATTTAATTACCTATCCGCTCTGTCTTACCTTGCACACAAAGTTTTTCCATTCCAAATCCGCTTGCACACCAAACCAATCGCAACCTCAATCATCCTACATCACAATGGGGCTCTCCAAATTATTGGAAGAGCCTCCCTTCCTCTCTTTCAAAGAACTTAAAAACGCAGGAGTTCGACGTGTCATTTACACTCCCGCCGCCGAGCGACTCTATTGGGAGTTCGATGGTGTCTTCCCTACCTCTACCGCCATTTCCGTCATGAAGAACGAGAAGGGTGCAAAAGACGATTTGGAACCATTCTTCAATCCAGACACTGGCACGTGGCACGAGATCTCGCAGCTGCCCCTCACCGAACCAAAGACCTCGTCTTTTGAGGTTTCGGTTTTGACCTCGAAGGACGACGATGGGAACGCGATTGGGACGAGTGGCATAAATATCATCAAGATAGCCAAAGATATGAGTCCACGGAGGACTCGGGCGCGGAGGTTCTCATCAAGTGCTGTGGAGAGGATAGACCGTTTCGGAAGCCACTACCTGTAGACGTGAAATTGGTGGTTACGGCTGGCAGCGAAGGTTTTATCACAGTGCGTGACTTTGTTAGCGGTAAGCAGTTCGTATCTCTTCCAATTGTTGGCTTTAACTTTGCTAACTCGGACTTCAGCCGTTCATCCCTGGCTTATGAGCTTGCGCGGTGATCTTTTCAAAGCAAAAGATGTCTCACGTGAGAGGCCGTATTATGGTAGTTCGCCGGAGCAAGATAAATGGATGGTGGGCTTGCCCATAAACGGCCATTGTTCGCAGCCACTCGAGATAGAGGAAAAGAGGGAGTGGGTTCGGCGCCATAGCCCGTACGAGCGTCGTCCTGGTGATCCGCCTATGAAACCCGCACTGAGGGCGCACCTCGAGCGAAAACGTGCAATGAGGGAGGCGGGCCTTGATACTACTTGGTAACTTGGGGGTCCATATCACCTCTATCGAGTGCGTTCAGTGCTATGAGACGGGTTTCAATTAGAGAGTATGTAATCATGGAGATACTTGAGGGTTCATTACTTGGAACATTCTAACAAGAAATTCACGTTGTTTGACCCCCTCAACACCATAAGAGTATCACCAGATTGTGACTGTCAAATTTGCTTGCCCGCTGACCAAGATTTACAAGGCATTTACAGGGGAAGAATTACTGGGCTAGCCATGTTCAGAATATTGAAAATCACGACTTTTACGGACAAAACGAGACATTTCATTTAACAACTGCCAAATGTGGGGAGGTGCGTACCTACCTAGGTACCTTACGTGGATGGTTTTGGTGCGCGCGGGTTAGGTAAGCTCTTTCAAAAAGAGCGCAATCCTCCATTCTCCTTGGCTACACTACACTATCTACCGAGCACAAGTGAACTAATGAGCCGCCGTGGCAGACGCACAATACGAGCTTCCATAAGCCATAACACTGGAAGCAGCAGCCGTCCCACAAGCGCCATTCGAGCAATCCCTCAAACCGTATCCAAAGTTGGCATTCTTGCAGAGACAAGACGGCTCCGGGCTAGCGCAACCCAGAGCCGAATACTGAGCCACCATGTTGTTGAAGCACGTCTGACCGCAAGAGGGCAGAGCAGCCACGCCCGTGGTGGCCGTGGCGGTGTGCGTAGCAAAAGCCGTGGAGCAGTATGCATCTCCGAAAGCGATCACAGTACTGCCCACAGCAGTTCCACAGGCCCCGTTTGAACAATCGCGAATGCCATTCTTAAAGTCGACGTTGTTGCATAGACAGTATCCGTCTCGAGCGGCACATCCCAGGGCGGAATACTGAGCAAGCATGTTGTTGAAGCACGTCTGGCCACATGAGGGCAAAGCAGCTAGACCGGGGATTGTAGTGCTAGGAGGTTTCGTGCTCGTAGTGATTGCCGCGGTGCTCGATTTGGATGTCGTGGAGGAACTCGTTTTGGTAGCGGGCGCGGAGGTGGTGGTTTTAGGGCTGCTGGTGGTCGTGGTGGTTGAGGTCGAGGTTGAGGGTTTTGACGTGGTGGTGGTGGTGGTTGTCGAAGAAGAAGATGGATCAAGGGAACAATTTCCCAGTTGGCATTGGCCGTATCCGCAAAATGAAGGGCCTGTACCACATCTTCCGGCTGCGTTGCAGCAATCACCCCATACACCAGCACACTGCTTGTAGCCATGCTGCTTGCCGCAATTGCCGTCTGTGGTGTAGACAGAATCTCCTGCACATGCGCCTTCGTAGCAGGTCCCGGGTGCACAGTCTTCTCTAAATTTCGAGTTTGGCATTAGTTTGGGACCAACAAAATCGACCCTTTATGACCAGGGACATAGGACTTACTCAGAGTCGCCGCATTTCCAAGTGTTTGCGTTACAGCACTGGCCGAATTTCACGCCGAGACAGGTAGCATTGTTGTTTGGGGGGCCGCAGAGACCGTCATAAGCTCTTAGAGGCTCGATGACTATGCAACGGGTGGTGGTCATTAGTCTATTATCAAAAAAAAAAAAAAGCACTCGTCCAACATGTGTGGGTGTCTTACAGCCTCTCACGCAATACTCGGTATCGGCTTCAATGTTCCCGCAGTCAGAATGCACTGTCGGATTCAACTTGAAGAAGGCTTCGACAGAGATGCCGTATCTGTTGGCTAGATAGGTACAAGTATAGTAGTTGATGTCCATATCTTCCGTCGAGGCGGTATACCGGACAGTTAACTTGACCGGGGGGACATATCCGCTGCTGGTGAGGTTGCTGATGGGGACCGGCACGGGGACAGCAGTAGACGTTGCGGCCGGGGAGCCGGAGATGGTGGTGTTGTCCAAGGTCCGTTTCTCAAATTGACCGGGGTTCCAGTATATAGGTTGGCACTCATTCTTTGCACGAACTGTGCTTGCAAGGTGAAAGAGGGCAAGAGCATACCATGCTGTTCCCTGGCGTAGATGCATGGCAGGCAGTGGTTGGATGAACGAGATGCGAGGAGAATCAAGTCCGAGAATTGGTGGCAATGACAGAGCAGTTATTGATGCCAACAGCTGAGAGATTGCCTCCAGTCTCTGCCTTCAGGATATTTCCCAAAGGGCAAGAGCGTGGTTGTTTCGGGCAATTCCATCCAAGTCCCTGGTGGCGATCGTTCATTCCTTTGTTCCCGTGAAGTGGTCTGATTAACCCTTGTATTGCAATGCTACCTAGCTTTGCGACCTTGAACCAACTGACGGACGAGCATGAGGTTTACAAGCTCAAGGAGGCAGGCTTTGCGAGTTTTCAACCAACAGACAGACTAGCATGCGGTTTACAAGCCCAAGTAAGCAGGAGTTCTGGCTTTGCGGGTTCTAGCCTTGTCGGGACACCTACCTTAGCTTGCCGCCAAGCTTTCGGTACCTGATAATGCTCCGAGCCCGGAGTTCCCGTGCTGGCCTGCCGGCAACCTAGTTCTAGCCCAGCAAATTGTAGTGTAGTGTTTTAGTGACATCTCGGTGGAGTAGCGGCTGAGCGGCAAGCTTTGTACACTAAGGTATCTACTAGTGGATCCTTCAGTCGCCTCTGGCCAACGGCGGCGCACCCTATGTGAATTAAGGTACATGTAAGCGCTCGCGAGCCGCAGAATGTTCTCGGATCCAAACTGTCGGATCTGGCTAATGGTTTGGTTCCTTCGTTCTTCGTGCTTCGCTTCCCGATGGAACACTCCAAGTTCTTACATGTAGGTACGTACATCCTTCTCATCATCGACATATTCATTGCCATCCCAAAGGTACCTCTACATCACCCCCATTACTCACTCCATCCTTGTAGTGTATCGTCCCCAATCTAGGTAACATTCGTCATTCCACTTCCCATATTGTAGTGTAGCCAAATGAACAACGATGAACCATGAACCATGACCAAAAACGACAACGGTAAACAAAAAAACAGCCTTGTAACCAAGGAAGCGATGTGAAAAGTTGTGTAGTCCGGACACGCTTAAACCAAACCAGACCCGGTGAGTGTCCGGACTTTTTTTCACACCACCTGCCAAGTAGTGATGGATCTAATAGAATTGCATTTGGTACGTATCTAATTCAAGTGTATCAAGCTCTCTTCTTCGTATCCATTCCTTGGTTCTTTTCTCATCCATGGCTCCTTCGTGGTAGGATAATTCTGCCATGTCATCCTGAACACTTATCCTTTTAAAGTCCGTATGGGATATTAACAAACGGCGGCTACTCGGAGTGAATGTTTCTTCAGATGGGCAAACGTAGTATTGTCTATTCTACCTAAAGAAAGCGGTGGCGAGTAAGCTCGGCCTTCTCCAGCAGCATTCCCATAGTCAACAAGCATCCATCTGCACTTTAGGATATGTCCTCTTCCCGACCAGGGCTTGATATGCGTCCAAGCCCGCAAATTTCAGTCATGGGCACCAGAGACGATCCAGGCTTTCCTCCGTCCGCAGGTTAATGCCGTTCTTCCGTATTTTCGAGTCTGAACACCATGAGAAGGATGGCAACCAATCTCCGCGCGCGCTCCGAGTCCTACCTCGCCTGTTGGACGGAGTGTACACCTTCCCAGTGAAAAAACGACTCAAGCTGTTTTCCGTCTCCAATACGAGGTGTCTGGAAGTATGATTCCCTGTCACGCATGGATTCTAATCCAATCTTAGCTCTATGGGAGGAATGATACCCTCCTATCGCACAGCGGTCAATTCCACGCGCCGGTTCTGGATTCTACTTCACCGTTGTCCGTTTCTAGCTGCTTTGGAGGATCCTTGGTGGATCTGGTAAAGTCAATGAGACTTGATACATGAGATATTGTATGAGTATAAACCATCACTTGGTGCCGTTCCTCCAGAACCTCTTGCTCTTTGCATGTTCTCTACCTGCCTTGTTGCTGACTGTGCCGCACTCGCGAGATGGGAGTCTTGCGGTTTCTTGCGCTTTTTGCGCAACTCTTCTATCTATTCTTTTCTCAAGTGGCAGAGGCTCAGTACCTCCAAGACTACATTAAGGATACTACTACAACCGGAAAATACACTTTGTCAGTCACCCCGTTTCCCTTTGCCCCCCACAATCTTCTCTATCGCCAAGGCAAAGCTGCCTGCTCAAACCCCCTATCTTATTGGTTGGGAAGTTACCATTCAAGTTGCTGATTTTGTACGGTTAAAGCAAGTCTAAGACAGCAGAAACTCCATGGGCTGTTATCAACCTCCATCCCACAACTGTGCACCTGCAATACAACTGTCACTACATGAGGGAAATATGCAAGAATGCCGAGAAATTTTTGAAGACCGACCGAGGGAAGAAGCCACATCCAGCCAGCGGTCTTCCAAATTGGATATTCGGCTATGATATGAATACAGGCGACCACTCTCGCCAGGAGGCTCGTCGCAGTTCATCATGTCCGAGTAGCTGGCGAAATAGACACCCCTGTCCGGAACCTGATCAGCAGAAGCCTATGCGGAATGATGGCGAGTGGTTCACGACCGCAAAAGAGCAACCAGGGGACAATCTCATTAAGCACGAGCGGGATGCAAACGGAAATGTGATCCGTCGCAGCAATATCCGATACAGTTGTGATGAGTTTCCACCGGCCACATGGTAAGTAGATTTTTGCCCTTTCCAAACCGGATTTTAAATGTCTGGTCTTGGTCCTTTGGTTGCCGAGAGCAGAGATCGAGAAAGTACCTTCTTAAATGTCGATACTGACTGGACATGTTCATTAGGGTTGAGGGTGGAAGCGGCGAGACGTTCCTTAACGCGTCCGAAACCCGGTGTGCCGCGATTCGCTGTGGAAAAGGGGTCAAAGCAGAACAAGATTGTAGGGCCCATCGCGAACCGTTTAAGGTTCCGTCATACCTTAAATTCGATGAGTTCCATTTTTCGCTGACCCTTACGTCCGATAGGGCAAGCAACCGCTCACGGACGTCTTCGTGTTGAGCTTGACGCTGCAGCCAAAGCCGATCCGGCGTATATCCCCAACCAATCGATCGTTCTTTTCACTCTGCTGCGCGAAGACAATGGAGCTGATCACACAGCTGCTACCATCACTGTTTTGAAGGAGAGTGCAGATGGGAAGACTGCAGACCCGGAGAAAGAGGTATACGTCTACAACGACGAGCCGGACCTGAAAAAGCGCTCAGCAGGAGAAAACCGTACAACATTTGCTGGCAGGCTCCGGGGGCCCATCACGGCCGCAGAGCTTAGGGCCCGCGTCGAGGCGGGCGAAGGGTATGCACATCGGGTACACGCTAATCTGACTGAGACTCTACACCAGGTAAGTTGAACGAGCTCCAACGTTCCATTTTATAGCTACATGATCCAGGAACTGACGCACGTACGTCCAGGTTCTCCAGTCAGACCTGTTGGGTGAAACGATTCCTATGCTTCGCAGTAACGCGACGCTTCCCAGGACCCTACCAGATAACGTCGTTCCTCAGCCACGGAGCATGCCCGAGCATAATGTTACGCCGCTGCTCAAAAGATCGACAGCCAAAGACCTTGAAGCCGCACGGAATATCGTGAAGAAAGCGCTTGCCGACTCGGCAAGACTGAACAAGGCCCGAGTGGCTCGGCCCCTCCGCAACAAATACAGCCTGAAGCCCGGGACTATTGTCGGCGGAAGTGGCGTTGCAGGTAAGCAAAACATGGCAGCTAGAGGTATTGACCAGGATGTACCGCCGCTTCTGGATATCACGGATGAAATCGCGGCAGCTGCAGCCCTGGTAGCCGAGGCCGACTCGCAGGGCGGATGGAAGAATGTCACGAAGCGTGCGGCTACGGCAAGCGCGGGGACGTATTGGATGCAAAGGTAAGTCACGGTCTTCTTGTTTGAATCATTCCTTCCCGTCGTTTAATGCAAATTGCCTGCTCACATCGTCGCCGTGTCACAGTCTTGCTCGTAAAGGCACTGTGCCTTGGGGAGATGAACCCGACTATGTGAGTTGTTCTCAGGACTGCACGGCATGCTTTATCTGTTAACCAAATGCAGGCTATCTTCAGAAATGTGCTCGATTATGGAGCGGTGGGAGACGGTATCACGGTGAGTTCGATGCGCAGAAAGAGAAGCCCGTTACCTGCCCCTGGTTTGTCTGTGCTTATACTGACTTACGACGGGACTCTCCCTCCTCGGTGCACAGGATGACACAAAAGCTATCAACATGGCCATGGGGACAAACAGCACCCGATGTGGCAAAGGATGCAACGGGTCTACGACTAAGAACGCCATCGTGTATTTCCCCCCCGGGACTTACCTAGTATCCTCGACCATAGCCTTGCCCTTCGGAACTACAGGTCATTGGTGATACTAACAACCGGCCGGCCATTATTGCTGCTCCAAGCTTTGTTGTCTAGGTGTCTTATCCACGGATGAGTATACCGGGGACGGAGGCCAAGGTGTTGATGGCGGGGACCCTGAGTACGTAATAAATTCGGACCCCAACACCTGCAGGACATTGATACCTACATTATGCATCCGTCTCAACCCTTATAACCACATTGTCTAGGCAGAAGTATTCCAGGACATGCGAGACTGACTCCCCACCTACTTATCTTCTAGGTACTACGTCAACACCGCCAATTTCTACCGTCAAATTCGAAACAT